TTAAAATAAACTCTTGTCCCCTCCATTCTTTGTAGGTCAACAGTAGATATTTAGAGTGGCTTATATAAAACAAATGTAATTTAATGAACTACAGCTTTGAAAGTGTTAGAAAATGATTCAGACTGTAAAATGTGCCAGAGGTTTTAAAATAAATAAAGTCAGTCATTTTGCAGGGTAGTTGAAATAATGTTCACTGCGAGGCAGCATATATAATAGGAATAGTATTTCACTTCTCACCTTGGTTAGAATAGAAAGTACATATGTAACAGTTATTTTGAAGTTTAAATATGACTCAAACTATCATTCTCATTATAGTTTGTCTTTTATCTTTTTTTTTTCAATTTCACCAAAGCAGCGATCAAAGCTCATATTTAGGTTTAATTCAGATTTCATTGAACACACAAGTTCCATGATGGAATTCATTTTATTAGACCCTACACTCAATACAAAACTTCAATTGCAGAGGGGTCACGCTGCATCTTCCTAGCTGTCACACCAATATCTTGCTAAGTGCCATCTGCAATGTCTCAGGTTCTTTATTTATACTGGAACTCATTTAGTTTGATCTGAGAACTATTTCCAAAATGCCTTCAGTACAAAGCACTTTAGCAACAGTCAGTCCATTGCTTTGGCGATAGGGATAGCAGTATTGTTCTCTACGATAGTGGATAGTTAGATAACTGGTGATAATAGATTTAAAGAGAAACAATCTTAATTCTAAGAAAAGTTGTTTTATATTAAATGAATCTATGTGTCCTAAACTTGTGTAGCTCAAAGGAGATTTGGATGCTTGGCAACTCTTAGGTTTTGAAATACAAAGCCAGTGTTTGAAGCTGGTTAATTTTTCTTACATAATGTATCTGCAATTTAGGAAGCCACCACAGGATAAGAGAATTAATTCTCTTGGAAGAGAGCAGAGTGGGCTAGGTAAAAATCTTTCTTAAACTATGTCTAACTCATCTTTAGAACCTCAGATGGGCCTGCACTCTCTGTCCAACACTTCACTATCTCGTAGATAAAAGAAAAAAAAAAAAGGAAAAAGAAGGGAGAGGGAGCTCCTTTTCTCCTTTATTTGACACTTACCATGCACAAGGCATTGAGCCAGACTGAGTGACTATGCAGATAAACCAAACTATGGCTCTAGCCCAAGAAGACCTTATACAAGAACAAGAGAAATGTTTGGAACATGAGTAACTTAAAAATGGTAGTAAATAGAAAATGCTGTAAGAAAAATAAAATAATAACTTATACAGAGAAAGGAGAGGGCATTACCAAATGAAAGTAACAGAAAAATTTAGCATTTGTTTTGGGCCTTGGAAGATAATAAGTACATGGAAATAAAAACACTATGAAGAACACTCTTCTGAACAGAAATAAAGACACAAGTCTGTATTTAGAGAAAGAAGGTTATTCAAAAAAATGACTAATCATATAGTTCAGAGGACAAAGAAGTTGTTGGCAAGTATAAACTCTGGCGGTAGAAGATTCAAACCTGGTTTCCACTATATATTAGCTTAATAAAGACTCAGGGTAGTTATAACATCTCTGTGTTTCAACAGCCTCATTTCACAGACTGACTTTTAAGAATGAAATTACTCACGGATGTGAAGCTCTTTGCAGTTTTCAGTGCACGCCTGCATTATGCATTTGCAGAAATTAGTCTGAAAAGGTGAATTAAAGACCGCTGAAGTCTTTGAACCCAGACTAAGGGTTTAGAAATTCGGCTCCATTCTCCCCCTATATTCTAGAGGGAAAAAGGAGCCTTAGAAACATTTTGAAAAAGAATTGACAGGATTCTAGCTTTGAGTTACAGAACTTAATCTGGTAAAACTGATGAAGGACTTGGAGTAGGGAAAGGAGCAAGACCGTTGCTGATGCAGTAATAGGGGCAAGGAGGTGGGAGTCATAGCTATCAAGACCTTTGTTTCTTCGGAAAGTCCATCTCCCCTCTTTCACATTGTGGATTATAGAAGAACTTCAAGGCCTGACATAAGAGTTTGGATATTAAAAAAATTTTAATTAAAATGATGTTAAGACCTTTGGCTAGAAAGTATGGAAACATTTCAGGAATAGGTTGAATAGGAAAGAGGCTGGAATCTAAGATGCCAGTTAGGAGGTGGTCAGATATTCTAGTATTAACCCAAGGGTATTAAAATTCTTGGATTCTTCCTGCCAGCAATACTTTCCCTTTCAGTATTGAACACTGCTTCACCCCAAATACACACTTTTATATACAATTTATTTTTCTCTTTTCTTTGATCGGAAGTTTAAACTATTGTCATTTTTACCCTTGTACTTGCATCTTGTGCCTCATTGTACAAGCTGACTTTAGTGCCAGTGCTGTTTGAAAGTTACTAGTTTCCCTTTTGGCTTGTTACTGATCAGAACTACAGATCAGACATGAGTAAAAGTTTCTAAATATTTAACCCTGGCCTGTGCATGCTCACGAAAGTCCATGCTCATATCCAAAATTAATAGTGTGTATATATATCAGTATTGCCCACTGAATGCCACACTGAGAGTGTTATGGCTGGGACCCTTTCAGAAAATAACGTAAACTAATGGATACAGTTGTGGTCTTCACTATGTTTCTTGTTAGGAAAAAAATTAATAAATCCATTTTAGTTTTTATAATGGAAATTGTTTTAATATCTCAAAAGAGCAAGTATACATACATGAATGAGTACAAAAAATTATTTTTTCTATCGTTTTCTATTTACCAATTCTTAAAATGCAAGATTTGTTCCTTTGGGGAATGAGTAAGTATAAGGAAAAATACTTAGTTTGAATATACTTAACATCTGTTCATTCATCCATACATTCATTAAGGAGAAATTTTTGAGAGCTACCTATTAGTAGCTGGATTTCTGTCCACATGGATCCCACATTCCAGTAAAGAAGAAAGGTAGTAACCAAACAAATACAGTCAAAATATGATTATAGATTGTGATGGGAAGGGCAACACTTTGGGGCATCAGGATAAAGCTCCTTGAGAAAGTGGCTTTTGGACCTGAGGCACGAAAAGGATCTAGTCATAGAGCATTCTAGGCTTGATTTCCTGAAAAGGAAACTCCTTAGAGGCTGAAGACCATGGCTTATTAGGGGAAGAGTATGCAAGACCCCAATAAAAAATGAAGAACTGTTTAAGGTAATATTTGAGAGGTATGCTGTAGCCAGTTCATGTTAGAGCTTGTAGGTCTTGATAAGATAATCGGATTTCGTTCCAAGTGCAGTAGAAAGCCAGTGAAGAGTTTTAAGCAGAATAGTAAAATGATGAATTATGCTATAAAAAGTCTACCCATGCTAGAGTGTGAGCAATGGATTCTAGAATGGGGCAAGAGTGAGTTCAGTGAGAACTGTAGACAGCTTTTGCTATACTGTAGGTCATAGATGATGGCGGCTTCAACTGATGAAGGAAGAGTGCTGTATGGATTTTAGCTATATTTAGGGTGCACAATTATCATGGAAAAGGAAATTATTAAGGGAGATCCCCATGTTCCTGTCTTGAGTACAGAGCAAATATGTCAATTTCCTAAGCAGTAGAGAGACCTAGAAAGGTATGTCAGGAAATTAAGAGTTCCAGTTTGGATTAGGTTTGGAATGTAGTAGATACCTTGGTGATTTAGAGAATGGATTTTGGGAAAGGTTCAAATTCTACTCTATTGGTTACTAGTAGTGGATCTTTAATAATTTACTAAAACTGAGCCTCAGCTTTCTCATCTTTAAACATAAGGAGGTTAAGAATACCTACCTTATAGGGCAATTGTAAATATTAAATTAGATAATTCCAATAAAATGATAAGAACAGTTCCAGGTACATTAGCAACAAAACATAATTATCACTATTATGATTGTGACATGATATGATTTGTATTATTGGATACACAGGTCCAATAATGTCAAGGAGGTAATCTAGTGAAAAAAGTATGAGGTATGAAGGAAAGTGATTGACATTGATCATTTTAAGAAAGTATTTCACCTCATTACACTTATTTTGAGTTAATTCAGACTATCTTAGAATAGAATTTACTCTTTTTTGTCAACTTACCTTTCTCTCCTTTATCCTCTTTTTCTGTGGATTGTGAAGGAGAGTTGAGTAGAGTCAGGAAGCAGCATAAGAAGGAAGAGTCATTAGGACAATGGAAAAGATATTCTAATTACCAAAGAAATGCAAATCAAAATTACAATAAAATATCACCTCACACCAGTCAGAATGGCCATCATTCAAAAGTCCACAAACAATAAATGCTGGACAGGATGTGGAGAAAAGGGAACCCTCATACACTGTTAGGAATGTAGTTTGGTGCAGCCATTATGGAAAACAGTATGGAGATTCCTCAAAAGACATTCTAATTCTGAAAAGAACATTTCATTTTCCTTTTTCAACTTTATAGTTACTCCGAAAGTAAATTCAAGCTTTGAACTGATTGTGTAAATAGATACTCCTGTGTAAATAGATCATAACCATTTTTGATAATATATTTTCAGGTTCATCTAATAATTATTAAATACTGAAACCACAAGGAATAATCTGTGATTTGCATGTTGATTTCACTATCAAATTTTTAACCTTTGAAATGTATGGCTTATTGGCACAGCAAAAACTTTCTCCTTCAGGTCTGTTTTCTTCTTCTCTGCAAGCAACTATATTATAACAAAATGCCGTTTTGCCTCCTGCAGTGGAAGGTTGAACATCATCAAATATATGAATGTATTGGAACATGAGTTTCATTCTTTCATCTATTTAATAAAAAAAGAAAAGTAATTTAATGACAGCCTGGGTGATAGATACTTTGTCATGTTCTGAGAATTCCAAGATAAAACATACTTGCTTTCAAGTGCAAAACCCCAGACATGAAGTGGGTCAATTCCTATTGTGTTTCTTTAAAAGCTATGTGAAACATGCTATGTAAATTTGAATTATTATTGTTCTGGTCATTAATATATGGAAATCTTTCTAGAAGCAAGCATCATTTTTTTCTTTTTACATTTTTTGACAGCCTTGAAACTGGGTTATGAAAAGAGGCTTGGAGCAGAACACTGAAAGTGGCCACCACCAGCATGAGGACACCAACGAGTCAAACTGGTAAGTGAAAAAGATGATTCATGAGTATCTCTTCTGTGTGTTATTAAATCTGTTGATACCATTTCTCATGCAACAAGTCCTCATAGTTCACAAACAAAAATGAACATGCTTCTAAAATGAAGTCTATGAAATAAATGTATTCTCATTACTTAGAATTCTTCAGGGAGGTGGTATTAGGTGGGAAAAGTCACCGATTCTGTTGTGGACAGACATGGATAAAATCAAGTAGCCATATGGCTTTGTGAAAGTTGCTTAATTCTTTCAGTTTCAGTTTCCTAATTTTAAAATGGAGATTTTGGTAGTTGCCTTGTTATGTTTGCTTAATAATTAAGTAAGAAATTGCATATGAACTGTCAAACCGTTTCCTTAGCATAGAAGAAGAACTGAAAGATATGACTAATATTTATCGAAGGTGTTGCATGTACTGAGTACTAAATACTAAATACTTTACTGTGTTATTTTACTGAATATTCACAACCCTTCAAGTTAGAAGCTATTGCTCTCATTTTACGATGGAGAAACTGTGTTATTAAAAGGTTATGTGACTACTTTAAATCACACACTGCTCCCTGAGACAGCTGTTTCAGTGCAGTTCTGTCTGATGCCAGAGTTTCTGTTCTTGTATTTACTCATAAAGTCAACAAACATTTATCGGGTGCCTTATAAACGCCAAGCTTCTTTTAGTCGAGGTGCCATACTAATTCCCAATTGATTATTACCTAGAGTATAACCACCATATGCTTATATGAAGTCTTATAGTTTACAAATAATTTATGAATAAGTAATTTTGTTTGGTAGTCACATAACCTCCATGGAAGACAAAATAGGGATTGTTTCTGTATTTTTAGAAATGGAGAAATTGAGGTCCCAACAGGTTAACTGACTCTCTAGACACAGCTCAGTGCTTCTCACACTCTGGTTAAGGGTCAGTTTACTGTTAATTCATTTTAATCCATTAAAGACTGAACGTTTTTTATAAAATTGGTAAAAATTAAATACTAGAGAAATGGAAAGACTAAAAGACAGACACCAAATACACAAACCCACATATTTATTACTACTTGTCATTATTTTACAGATGTACAATTACTCCACCAAATGGCTATAAAAGTTTCTAGTGCTTTCTGTCCATTTCCATACTCCTCATGGTGCAGACCAGTCAGCATGTGCAGACTAACACTAGCCAGTAAACTAGACAGTGAACCATAGCATCAAGGAGCTACTATGAGGCAGATCTAATACTAAGTCCTAGACCTTCCATTTTCTAGTCTGGGTCTTTTCATATTGCTCCATACTGCCTCAACATACAGTAAGAAGCCAATTTTATAATCTAAGCGACAAGAAGATCGAATTTCAAATTGTTCACATGCAACCACTGCAACAAAACTGAAAATGATAAAACATCTTAAAAGAGTTATATAGAGCAACTGACACAAAAAAAGGTATCAACGTTTTTTAAAAAGTTGGATCATTTATAAGAATGATTTCTTTTAAACTTGTTTATAAAAAAAAGAATTAAAAAATTTGACATGTGGTATATTGTTGAGAGATATTCTTAAGATTTTTTTTTCTTCCACTTCTTTTTTCATTTTGTTTATTCTTTGAAAAGATAATTTAAGTTGTGTTTAGAAGGCTGGGCCTTGTCATTTCCCAAGCAGTGTATAGACTGTGTATAATCCTAAGAGATAAAAGTGGATCTTGGCCAGTTATGAAATGAGAATGAATTCATCTCCCCACTACACTGAAAAAGCCTGAAAATAAATGTTACTCCTTTGTTTTAAAAACAACCAAAAAAATTGCAGCACTTTTGATGCAAAGTAAAATGCACACTGAGTCAGCAATGAAATTTTATCTTTGTAAGATAGTTTTGTGGCTTTCTCAGTTCTACTGAAATGGATCCAATATTTACATTTGCAATGTTATTAATAACTATTTTGCCATCTGTGCCAAAGTAATATCGCACAGATGTTCAGGAATAACTTTTGGTTGTGAGTAAATATTAGAGGAAGATTGAATTTTCCTCTAAATGATGCTGATGGGATGGTTTTTTAATTATAGTTTAAGATGTCAGACAGAGTTGTTGTTTTGAAGTTCTACAGCTTAACAGTGCTTGATGCAGTTTTAAATGGCTATAAGGGCGTGGAGAAAGATGAAAATTTATGACAAAATTCAAAACTGAGACTTTCAGCCAAACTATTATTAGCTTCTGGGAAGGCTCCACACTGCTAAACTGAAATTCAGTCTGAAGCAGAGCAAACCCGTGGCCTTAAGTGATACAGAGAGACTGTGCTCCTCACTTACTTGCTGCCTCCTAACTTAGAGACCTAAGATTTGTATCACTCAGAAAGTTAAGCAGCCATACCATGGCACCTGTCTTCCATCAATGCCTTTTTATCTGTATATGTTTGAGGATTACCTTTCTTGCCCACTCTGAGAAGGGTAGAAAGAAGGAAAGACTTAGGAAAATATACTGTAACCAAGGGGAGAGAGAGAGTCCCAGTGGGCATCGCAGGTGTGGTAATAATAGAAACAGTGACAGTAGTACTCTGTGTGTGTGTGTGTTGTGTGTGTATGTGTGTGTGTGTTAAACTCTATGAGACCATCCGAGAACCAGTGTGAAGAGAAGATGGTCCACCAACATTCTAGCAGAGGTGCTTTATTTGAATGCCTGATATTCATTGGAATTTAGGTCTGAGGTTGTCCACAGTTTAATCTTCAGCTGTGAAACTTAGAGGATTTCTACTAAAACCCATGTTATCATTAGGACCAAAGGCTAAGGGTCAGTCTTCTGACTTGTCTGTTAAAAAATACTACCCTTCAATAGATTTTTTCATACTCTCAGATCTAGAAACAAACAATGGCAACAACACAATCAAAGCCAAACACGATCAGGATAAAGGTTACTCTGACATGGGAAATGAAAGCCTCAGAGGTAAAGCATGTATAGAACAATGAGTTCATACAAAACCCAGAAAAATATTTTAGAAAATTGTTCTTTACCCTTATACTTATGTTGATGAACTTAGAAGTAAAAGCCATTTAGATTGATAAAGTTGAAATGCAAAGGATTGAAAGGAAACAGAAAATCTAACAGAAGTATTAAATCTGCCTTTGGAGGCAACAACTAATATGATCGGACTTGTGGAAAGCAAACTGAAGAAGCACTCCTAGAATGCAGAAGATAAGGACAAATGAAAATTATAAGAGAAAAAAAAAATAACCAGTTTGGAAAACAAATCAAACACGTAGGTAATTATTCATGAAAAAAGAGAAAAATAATAAATTAAACAAGAAGCCCTAATCGAAGAATCACAAGGGAAAAAAGTCTTGCTCAAGAAAGAAATGAAAAACACTTTTTTTTAATCACTGAAGAATTTACTTGCTAAGATAGGAAATCTCTTTAAAACTCAGGATAATATAGTAGTAAATCAATACAAAAGATTATTTTGAATCTGGTGGGGTTTTTTCTTTTTCTTTTTTTTAACATTTCTTGCTTCTAGACTATAGAAGCTTGATCTGTTCAGGTTTTCTTATTTTCCTTTAAGAATTTTAATAATTTCTGTTAACTTAGAAAAACTATCCATCCTGAGTAATCATCTATGTATGAATATACATGTAAGGGGAAAAAAAATACTTGGTTAGTGCACCAGTGGAATTATTAAGTGATTTTTATTTTTCTATTTTAATTTCATCTATACTGTCTGACATATAAAATAATCAGATATCACTGATTAATTAAAGATTTTTATTGAAATGTAATTAAGAGCAGTGCACAAGTAAGTGAACAGCTCAATAAATTATCACAAAATCCACAAGCAAGTGTAATAACAATTCAGATTAAGAAATAGGACATAACCAATATAACTGAAGGTGCTGTTTTTTTCCCTAAGTCATAAATCCCAAACCTCCATAAGGTAATAACTTTCCTAAATTAAAATACTGTGAACTATTTCACCTTTCTTTGTGTTTTATATAAACGGAATAATAGCACTTGTACTTGTTTTGCTGTGTGGCCCCTTGCTCTCAATATTACTCACCAGAGACTTCTATGTGTAGTAGTAATTTATCTTTCAATGCTATATATTGTTTTATCAAGACCAATTTGTAGCTCTTACGTTTTTACATGTCTTTTGGTGCATGTATGTGTACATTTCTGTTAGATGTACAGTTACTTTTATGTGGCTTATATTTTCATTTGTGGTAGATCCTGTCACTTCCCCAAAGTAGCTGTGCTAATTCACGTTCCCACTGGCACAGTCTAAGAGTTACAGTTGTTTCACATTTTTACCAACACGTGGTAATGATCAGGGATTTTTATTTTATCAGTCTGATAGGTGTGTTGTAGTATCTCATTGTGATTTTTATTAACATCTCCATGATGACTGATAAGAGGGATGTTGCTATGCAGATCAACAATTCCTTAGGTACCCCCAAATTCAAAGACAAATGGAAATTTAGGGAAAGCACTTAGAAAAGTGGTAACCTTATTACCATCTCCACGAAATGAACATTCAGTCTAAAGGGATCTAAAATTCCTCTTTAAATTAGACAATGAAAAATTATATGAAACATATAACTAAGTAAGTGCAAGCCTGGCAATCTCATTCATTAAAAATTCGACTTATTGAGAGATGGGCCAAGTTGGTGGAGTAGAAGGACCCTGAGCTCAGCTCCTCGCACAAGCACACCAAAGTCACACCTATTTGCAGAATCACTGATGAAAAGACTGGAACTTACCAGCAAAAATCTTCTACAACTAAAGACATAAGGAACCACAAGTTGGCTCGGAGAGGTAAACTCCCAATATTGTCAGGTCCCATACCCCTGGGTGAGTGACCCACAAACGGAAGAATGAACATATTGCAGGGTTTCACCCACAGGAGTAAGAGTTCTGAGCCTCACGTCAGGCTCCGCAGCCTGGGGGTCCTGCACCAGGAAGACAAATCCCTAGAGCATTTGACTTTGAAGGCCAGCGGGGCTTAATTTCAGGAGAAATAGAG